CTGCCCTCTTCCTCCTCCTCCTCCTCCAGAGGAGGAGGAGGAGGAAAGGAGGACGGGGAAGCAGGAGAGGAGGAAGGCCGCCGCCCACACAGGTGCCCATCCCCCCCTCGCCGCGCGGCGCAGCAGAGGAGCGGCAACATGACCCCCCTCGGCCTCAGCAGGGCTGGGATGGAGGTCGGATCGCGAGCCTCTCCGCTACATAGCACGCATCCCGAAAAGTCCGATGATCCTGAGCATGTGTGTTAGCGCCAGCGCCTGTTTGTCCATCGAGACCGCTCAACACGGCGCAGGCGATGTGATGATCTAGCGGCTGGGCTGAACGGGCTAAACACACACACATAGGTCCAACACAAGTCCTGAGGATAATCGAACCGTCATCGGCCCAAACAGGGATCGACCTGACCGGTGCTCGTCGTTTTCATGCTGCTGCCGCTTTCCTTCGCTTTGGCTTCGCTCCGCCGCTGCCGCAAAACGACACCGAACTGGACACGGCCCACGATACAGCCCGAAAACACCGTTCGGGCCGAGCCTTGGAAGGGCCTCGAATGGAACGGGCCATCTGGCAGATTCTGGACCCCTCTCCCCCCCCCCTGAGGCACAGCTCTTCGTCCCAGGGCCTCTCTGTGACGGCGCCTGGGCCCCCCAGGAGTCGCGCCAGCCTTCCGGGCGTGAGTGCTTTAGCCCTTCTTGGGGTACGACGACTTCCTCCTCCCTCTCCTCTCCCTCCCCCTCCTCCTCCTCCTCTGCCTCCTCCTCTGCCTCCTCCTCTTCCTCCTCCTCCTCCTCCTCCGACGACGACGACGACGATGACGACGACGATTCCTCCTCCGTCCTCCCCCTCGTGGGGCACGACGGCTTCCCCAGCCTGCTACTCAACTGCATGCTCCCACATATCAGGGCAACTTGTCTGGGCATTGTTTCTGGATGGGCCGGTGTGGTTACGCGAAGCGCCTACGTAGAATCCCACCAGCACTTCCGGGCGTGAGTGGCTTTGCGAGTTTCCAACCCCAACCTTCTGGGGAGACCACAATGCACCGATACCGCTACTCCCTGGACCTCTCCCGGGGTGCGTTCTGACCAGGATTTCGAGGCGAATCCAGCCGTGGCGACGAGGGCTGCCCAGGAGGCCCGAAGAGGGGAAAACGAGGGAAGGGTAGAGGGGTACCTTTTCCTCCGCCGACCTTCCTCCCCCTCCCCTGGACCTGGGCGCGGGGGCTCGCGACCTCGGCGAGAGGCCGCTCTCTGCCGGGGCCTGGGCCCCCGGGGAGCAGCTTCAAGTCGGGCCTGTCCTCCTGCAGGGGGGTTTTTTGGACGAAACATAAGGAACAGTCCAAAGATGCCCCCGAATGGTCAAAACACATGCTCAGAACATGGCCCCCAGGGTATGTTGTACTATTTCTGCATCTTCCTCCTGCAGAGGGACAGGCCCGACTTCAGAGTAGCTTTTCCCATCCTGAGCCGTCTTCAGGCGGCGCTGCGGCCCAGGGCGGGCCCCGAGGGCCCAAACCACGAAGAGCCTCGAGGCCCAGGCATCCGACGACGTGCAGAGCGCTGCCCCAGAGGTCCCGAACCCCTGCCCTGGGCCTGCTCTTTCGCCCCTGGACCAGCTGCTGACGGTCCTGGGGCCCGGAGGTGAGTCATGGAGGCCGAGGTCGGGGAAACACGCTGGCACCTCCTCCTCCTCCTCCTCCTCCTCCTCCTCCTCCTCCTCCTCCTCCTCGTCCCATCGCTGAAGATCTGGGGCCCCGCTTCCTTCAGGGGCCGGCCTGCCGCATCCGGCCACACGCCCGACGTGACCCTGGGCAAGGGTGACCTCTGGTGCACGGCGCTCCGAGGGCCGCCGGGGGGGACCCATGGCAACTCCGGCGAAGGGTCACTCCCCCCCATCTTTGGTGTCCGTTCCATGGGAGCCTGCGTGGCCCCTGGCACTGTCCAATTTGGGCCTGATTTGGACTGGATTTGGAACAAATTTGGACCAGATTTGGACCAGACTTGGACTGGATTCGTAGGGGCTAGGAGAACGAGGAGGGGGAGGGGGAACAGGAGGGGAGAGGAGGAGCAGGAGGATGGGCCAAATGCATTCCCCACGCTGTCCACATGCAGGAAAATCTGATTTCAATGTCACCGCCCAAGGCTCCCATGAACAGACATTGAACCCATCGGTCAGGAGAAGTAGGTAGAAACATGAAGCAGGAAGGCGTTGAAAAAAGATTGGGGGTCCACCCGCTCCCTAATCAAGACGGAGAAGGTGCACTCGATCACTGCGAAGTAAGAAGGCGCTTATAAAGTAGATTGGAACCAGGGAATCCAGGAATACCTGCTTTCAACGACCGATGGGTACGTGCTTTCGACTCGAGGCTATCTCCAGGAGAGTCGGGCGTTGGCAAAACTGGGTTCAGTGGGACCTGGTTTAGTGATGTGTACCCGGGGGCGCCCCCCCCCCCGTCCCATTCCACTAACCGGAATGGCCGGAAAAGCATCAGCTGCGGCAGACCTGGCTTAGTGATTTCAATTCATTTTAGCAGACACCGACCGTCCCGGCATTCCTATAGCCATACCACGACATGTTCTTAGAACCCAAACATGTTCTAAGAACAAGAACAATGTTCTTAGACCATAAACCCGACGTGATGAAGCAAGACAGATTCCGCCAGAACCGTTCTAAGAACATCTCGTGGAAACCACAAAAAAGGTTCTTAGAACATTGTCTGGTGGGGCTACAGGCGAGCCAGGACGCTTCGCCGCTGCTAGAATACATCCTTTGGGCTTCGGGGACCCATCACTGACCGGCTCCCCTTGCGCGGGGCCCTGGCTATATTCGGGAGCGGCCAAGAGGGGGGTGTCCAGGAGGGGGGGGTGCAAATCATGACGGGCGGCATGTGCGCGGCCGCGCGGGGGGGCCAGGGACGCAATGAAACAAGAAGAGGCGCCATGAAATCTGGGGACATATCATGGCCCCCGCCATGATATCCAGCCCCCCCTAGTCATCACCCCCCTCTTTGCCGCCCCCGATGGCTACTCCAGATTTCGTGATAAAGGGAGGGGGGTCTCATTTCGGGGGGGGGTCTCTTCCAGGCTATCTTGGAGGGCCTGGGGGGGTCTGGGGACGAGGTTTTGGAGGGCTCTCCCACGGGGGAGGTCTGAAATGGCTTGTCTTGGAGGGTCCAGACCTCCTCCCTTTTCTTACGAAATCTGGAGTATATACCCGAGAGAGAGAGAGAGAGAGAGAAAGAGAGAGAGAGAGAGAGAGAGAGAGAGAGAGCTCCGGCGCCCCGGGCCTGCCCCCCGGCGCGCGGGCACGCCGCGCGGCGCGCGCGCGCGGCGCCCCGCCGCGCGTGCAGCGGCGCTTCGCCGCGGCCTCCCCGCGGCGCCGGAGGGGGGCACCGTCCGGCGGCTCCGAGCAGCGGGGGCCCGAGGGTCGGGGCCATTGGGGGCGGGGTGCGGGCACCGAGTGCAGGCAAAGACCCTCGATGGGACCCCCTCGAGGCGCCCTCGAGGGGCCCCTCGAGGGGCCCTCGATCCTCGAGGGGCCCTCGATCCTCGAAGGGCCCCTCGAGGGGCCCCCGATCCTCGAGGGGCCCTCGATCCTCGAGGGGCCCTCGATTCGAGGGTCGAGGCCCGAGGCCGCGGCCCCTGGAGGGGCCCGGGCGCGCGCCGCCTCCTCTGACGGGGCCCTGGGGCACGCAAAGGAACAGACACGCAAATAGAACGAGATGCACGCAAATAGAAAGAGATTCCCCCTATTTTTTCCCACAGGTTCTGGGCTCTTGTCTTCCCCCCACCTCCCAGAGTTTGTCCCATATGTTCCTGGGGGTCGACGAGTCACTGTGTCTGTGTGCTTTTTTTTCCCTCCTCATAATAAGGACGCGCGGCAAGGACGCAAGACCCTAGGGAGCCGAAGTTGGGATTTTTGGGGCGGCGGACGACGAAAAGCCAAAGGACGCAAGAGCAAGGGATAGCAAGGACGCAAGGGTACCCTGAGCAAAGTCGCGCGTCTTTCTTAGGGTTTTTGACTGTAAGGAGTCATTGGGAAAGGCAGCCAAGGTCTGGAAGGCGGTGAAGCTCCAAACGTGTGGATTGGCCATCGGTTTTGCAGCCGCCCTCGTCAGATGAAGGAATCCTCCAGGGGTTGAAGCCTCCCGTGCACGTGCCTTCACCAACTCCCCCACCGCAGGAACAGATCCCAGGTTGACGCTGCACTGCTCGAGGCCCCCCCCGTGGTTTTGGCCCCATCCCTCGGGTCCCACTTCAGGAAAGAGGAACGACCTTTGAAAATGGGCGGAGTGCACAAGACAACTTGGTGCGACAGCTCAGCTCTCGCAGCTTGCCTGGCACGCCTCGGGCACCCTGAGCGGTCGGTACTTCGACGCTGGGTGCTGTGAGGTGCCACCTGGGCAACATCTGCACGTGGGGAGCAGCCGGAGGCCGCGCGCTGGATATACCCACCCGGCAATTGTGCGTACCATATAACATTGCAGAGCCGAGCGCTGGGAATGCTTCTGCCCACGCTCGCCTCCCGGCCCTCGCCCCGGGCCGCCGCGTCGTGTGCATCCAGCTGCCTGGTACGACCTGGGGCCTCCTCCTCCTCCTCCTCCTCCTCCGCCTCCTCCTCCTCCTCCACCTCCTTCTCCTCCTCCTCGTACTCCTCGTCCTCTTCCTCCTCCTCCTCCTCCTCCTCCTCCTCCTCCACCTCCTCCTCCTCCTCCGCCTCCTCCTCCTCCTCCTCCTCCCATCTTACGCGCGGGAGGACGGCGGATAGGCCGCCGACTCGCGCGGGCCGGGGGTCCCAAACGACCACCTCGAGGGCGGGTGAGACAGCGCAGCGGGCTCGGCAAAGCCTTCGACTTGGGCCACTGCTGCACGAACATGCACTCGCCGCCGAACGTCCTCTGCCATCGCCACAAAAGTTCCACGACCTACTCCGTCAACACACATCTGCTGAAAATGGGGCAGCTCACGCCATATAATCTACCAACTCGCAACAAAATGCCTTGGCAACCTCAGACAAAGTCCGCGTCCCCTGGGAGAGCGACTGAGGTACTCACACTGTGAGGGACGGCAGACACGGCGATGCTGTCGCCAAACAGTGGTGGCCGATCAACGCCCGCGGGACCACCGTCGCAACGCACGTCTTGTCGGCACACCGCACACGGCAGAACCTGACGCTGCTGCCAGGAAATGGTCAACCACTTCTTTAAGCAGCGCTCGTGGAAAGAATGATTGCATGACAAAGTCTGGACGCTGTCCCCCATCTCCCATCCACCCAAGCAGATAGAACAAACAACGGAAGTCATGGACTCCCGATCGCTATCCGCGGCCTCATCCGACCATGTGATCGTGCTGAACGCCGCCATGACTTTGGTCACCTCGGCCCCGGCCATCTCCAAACTAGCGCCCAACTGCTGGGAAATAGACCCGCGCGGCTTCACGAATTCGGTCGCCATTCTGATTGTGACGCAGATTGTTATGAAACACCAGACCCCCTCAGGGAACGCGCAAGCAGACACGCCGTGAAAAACTAATTGCATGCCCATCCTGGCAACCGGCAACATTAGGGACGCGCTGAACAACCCGTGCACGTAGTCCTGGGATATGCTGGCGTTCCCGAGCGATGTGATGGAGGTGACTACGATGGCAACGACGACCGCCCAGCCCACGAGCTCCGTCAACACGTCCTGCTGGCAGACCACGCCCGCAACCTCCAGACTGGGAACGACGTGCATCAAGTATACGAAGGAGATCGGCACCCAGAGGAGAACCACCGCGAACGTGCCGCAGTTTGCAGCGACCGCCTGAGCACATTGGGGGGGGAGGCCCCCCCACCCCCGAGGTACACAAGTGATGGAAGCCTCCAGACAGCTCCTGCTTCCCGCGCTGCGTCCGGCTGCGGTGGCGAGACGCTCCAAAGGGCCCAAAAGACGTCCAAAACGACGACCTCGACGACGACGACGAGGACCCTGAGATCCAGCGGGAAACCACACATGCAACATCGCGCGACAAATCACGACCGCAGCCCCGGACCCCACCCGTCTGCGGCGCTCCTCGGGCCGCATCGATCTGTATAGTCAATAACGGTGGCGACGACGGGGGCGAACGGCCCGGCGGTTAGCCCCCACGCGCGTCCCTCTGGGATCCACGCCGAGGGCATGGACCGTCCGCGCGCCTGCACACGCACGGTGCTCCTCCCTGGGCCGCCCGCCCCGATCGCCGCCCCCGCCTGCCCTGGGGCTCGACCTCGGGCGAAAGACCCCCCGGCGTACACACACACACAACCACACACACACAACCACACACAACCACACACACACACACACACACACACACACACACACTGCAGCGCCCAGATCCCAGGGAACGGCGAGTGACCCCATCGCCCATGACCCCCGACGTCATGACTTTTCCGTGGCGTCCACCCCCAGAGGCCTCGACACATTCCCCGGGAGGGACCAGCTTCTCACCCCGAGTCGTCTTCTGCCGGCCCCGAGGCCCGGCGAGGGCCCCCAGGGGCCGCACATTCGAAAAACCTCCCGCCATGATTTCTTGATGACTCCAGGGGGTCTGGGCTTAAGTCGGGCCTGTCCCCCTACAGGGGATTTTCGACGAAAAATGCAAAACACCCAAAAAATCATCAGAAAATAGTCCAAAAATAGTCTGGGGATTATTTTGTGAGTATTTGTTGACCTTTTTGGGGTATTTTCGCGGTGTTTTTCATTTCTCCTCGAACATCTCCCTGTTATAGTGGGACACGCCCGACAGAAGCCTGGGCGTCGGGGCCCCCGCGGGCGGGACCCTGCGCGGCTGCCTGCATAGCCGAGGCGCCACCCGCGGCGCCAGCGCTGCCCCGCCGCGTCCAGGGCGCCCGGCGAGCCTGGCGACCGAGGACCACGCTGGCCGCGCTCAGCATGGCCGCGCCTACGCGCAGGCTCCGGCTAAGCTAGGGGGCCGCATGCGGACCCCACCCCTGCCCCCCAGGAGTTCTGAGGGGAGGGTGGGGTTCACTTCGTTCGGGAGCTCCCGAGCGGAGTGAACCCCACCCTCCCCCCCAGAACTCCTGGGGAACAGGGGTGGGGTTCGCACGCGGCCCCCCAGCGGAGGCTACGGCAGGTTCGTGTCGTGACGACCCCGGCGTTGGCTTGTGAATGCCGCGCGGATCGTTCAGCCTTGAACGATCCGCGCGGCGTTTCAATCGCCCGATCGCTCCATGTATCGGGTCGGGCGAAAGGGGGGATAGCAAAGGGAGGGGGTGAGAATCAGCTCACGTAGCTGATTTTCCCGGCGCCTCCCGTCGCCGGAGGCGGCCATGTATCGAGGAATGGGCCCCTCGGTGAGGCCGAAACCAGCTGCATGCAGCAAATTTCGTAACCCCCCCTTTCCCAATCCCCCCCCTTTCGCCCGGCCCGAATGTAGGCCGATTCTGGGCCGCTGGCGGCGCTCCACCTTGAACGCCCGCGGCAGGGTCGCCGGCGGCCGACACGACGCGAACCGGCCGTAGAGCGCGCTGCTTCACGGGAGAGACGTGCAGACGGAGCCAGGACGAGGACAAGTTCGAGTGAGGATACTCCAGATTTCGTAATAAAAGGGAGGAGGTCTGGACCCTCCAAGACAAGCCATTTCAGACCTCCCCCGTGGGAGAACCCTCCAAAACATCGTCCCCAGACCCCCCAGGCCCTCCAAGATAGCCTGGAAGAGACCCCCCCCCGAAATGAGACCCCCCTCCCTTTATTACGAAATCTGGAGTACGTCCAGAATCTCTGAGATCCGGCGGCTCTGGAGGATGCGTCGGGCGTCGCGGCCTTCTCAGAGGCTTCCGGAACGCTCGGGAACGGACGTATCCTCGTCCTGGCCCGGCCCGTAACGTGCACCCTTCGCGCCCCTCTTGGGCCAAGCAGGGGGCCCCTTTCGAGCACAAAGGGTGCATCTCCCCTATCCCAGGCTTGGGGAGGTTTTCGCATGGGCCAGGAATCTGGGGCCCAACCCTGGGATATGCGATGGGGGGGCGTCGCGCCCATCCTCGATAGGGGGTGCGTCTGGATAGCCCCCAGAGGGGTGCATCCCGGGGCTCCCCCATGCTGCTGAACGGCCAAGCTTCTCGGGCAGAACTCGGGGATGGGGGGAGAAACATCGCCTGCGATTCTTCACTCCCCCGCGTATCGCCGCTAAAACAGGGCTGGGATCGGGATGAATCGCTCCAGAGCGTTCCGGAGCGCTCTCAGAGCGTTCCGGAACGCTCTGGAGCGGCCGCGGCGCCCAGCACATCCTCCAAACCCGCCGATTCTCAGAGATTTCGAACTATCCCGATCCGATTTTGCCCCGATCTTCGCGTCGTCTTATATCGCCGCCCCCGTGACGCAGCGCCCGAGGAGTGCACCCTGGGGGCCGGCACCGGGCGCCCACCCTGCGGGGGCCTGCCCCAGCCACCGGGCAGCGCCGCCTGAGCCGAGACTGCTGCGGCCGGGCCGCGTGGCGACTCCTGGCCATCGCTCGGACGTCCATTCCCTGTGCTTTTTTCGATCTCGTGCGCGGTTGTTTCTCAATATGATCAAGGATGCTCCTCGATGGTCCTCGCCGACAAAAAATAAAAAATGCACACGTCCGAGCGATGCCAAGACTTTGGCGATGCGCGGTCCCAGATAATCTCCGACGATTGCAGGGAAACGAACCCTATACACCGACGCTTTTTCCGACCCTGCGCCGAAATACGCACGGGAGCGCGGATCCTGGTGTATGCGGGATCCTGGTGTGTACATTGTCGTGGTTTCCCTTAGAAAGCGGGGGACAAGTATACACCACACCACCCCGACGTCGTCCCCGACCCTCAAAAAAGTCCTGGGATTGGAGAACCGCCCGCCACGGGTCATGTAGATGCTCCAGTTGCCGAGATCGGGTCGGGATCTCTTGCTTAGCGATGTCGCCACGGCGGCCCGGCGCAAATGGGCCCCAGGACGGCCCAAGAGGGTTCCAAGAGAGCCCAACAGGGCCCCAACAGGACCCCGAGGAGGCACACACCGTGGATTTCTCACAAGTGTCTGTGAGCTGTTTTGCTTCTCGCCGCTTCGGGCCCCCGACGGCCCAGGATGGCCTAAAAGGGCCCCAAGATCGCCCCAAGATGGCTCAAGATGTTCCAAAGAGGGCCCCGAGGCGCCCCAAGAGTGGCGACACGCCGTGCCCTGCAAGCGGGCAGCGCGTCGCTCCGCGACGCCCAGCGGGGCGCGCGGAACGGCCTGGGCCATGGACGCCTTGGGACCGGGCCGTGGATAGCTGAAGGGGCCCTGGGACACACAAATAAATCCACACACTAATAACAGGATTCACCATATTTTCCCATATTTTCTGGTTTTTTGTCTTCCCCCCCCAGTTCCCATATTTTCCAATATTTTCTGGGGAATCGACGATTAATTGTGTCTGTGTGTTTCTTTCCCTCCTGAGTGGATAGCGCGTCGCGCCGAAGAGCAGTGGATCGGAGCCGGCGGCGAGACACGCCATCCGAGAGTGCCCGGCCGTATACAGTCGGGGGCGTTGACCTAAGGAACCCAAAATAAGGAAGGAGGCCCCCTTTTTCCATGAGTTAAGCTTCGATTGCCGATCGAAAACCTGAGGAAAACCTGAGGCAAGCTGCGAAACACTTAAGGAACGCGGAGCCCCTCCCCAACAAAAAGGGTTCCTTCTTCAGGGCCCCGACTGTGTTCTCAACCAGGGCGTGGCTCCTGGATCTCGGCCTCCGGAGTTCCCTGTCAAGCCCCCAGGGCAGTCAGACGCGGATCAAAGGGCGACGAGCTCCCTCTGGGGAAGCAGCGGGGACCTCTTTGTTTTTGTTTGGGGGGGGGGGACTAAGGAGCCTCTAGGGCTCTCTTTCCTCAAAGAGGCGAAGGGACCAAGGCGGTCGCCCCGCAGGACGAGCAGTTCGCTCTCCAAAAAGCAGCGGGGACCTCTTGGGCCGCGGATTGAAGAAACCAGGTCGGCGGGCCTCAGGGGCCGTTGTGCTACCGCAAGGGGTGCCGAGGAAGGAGAGCGAAGGGGCTCCTGCGGCCACGGCGAGCCTCGGACCCGGATAGGTCCCAGACCCAGATCAGAAGAGGGGGTCGAGAACCCGAGCCCCTCCTGAGCCCAGAGTGGTCCTTGTCTAAGCGTCTTGACTGTATGTGCGAGACTCGGATCACCTAGCTCTCCGCATCGTGCCATGAAATGCGCTACTCGCCGTGATCTTCGCGCGAGACGCTTCCCGGTTCCTCAGAATAGCCAAACTGGCTTACCATTACTGCCGCCTCGAGCCCTGGAGCGAAGATACCTGTCATTCGTATGGTCCACTCCAAGACTGGTTACCGACGCGCCAAGCTGTCCGACCAGGCCTCCTAGTCGCTCTTTGATCGACCTGTGGCTGCAAGCACACCCTACCTTGTCCATGGCAAGCGTGTCCCGGGACAGCAGAAACAGCATGGCGCAAACCGATGGAACTGGCAACGAAGGACTCGACCACCTCGGCCACGGTTCCCGTATGCGACAGCCCAGCGTCGTCTGCATAGGCGTCGAAGTCCGTGCCAACTGCCGAAAGGGGCCCTATCAAAGGACTTCACGGCGAAAACGTAATGAAAGATGCGGCAATGGAGAAGCCAGCACTCACCAACGACGGAAGCCAGCAATCACCAACGACGAGATACAGAACGGGCCTTCGATGATGCACCCACGCGGGCTAAGAAAACGGCAAGACCTGTATGGACCGAGAGAGCCACTCCGATGATGGCAATGGGAAAAACGAGAGCCGAACGTTTGTCCTCGAGATAATCCGAGGACATGATTTCGTCATATCTTTGAACGCCCTGGAAGATCGGCTTTGATGGCTGCCCCTGGAGGCCCTAGACTCAGCCTGAGAGGCCCAGCGCCAAACCATTCCTCCTCCTCCTCCTCCTCCTCCTCGCGCGTCGCTGGACCTCCTCCTCATCCTCCTCCTTCTTCCTCATCCCCCTTCCTCCTCGCCGTTTCTCCTCCTCCTCCTCCTCCTCTTCCTCCTCCTCCGCTTCCTCCTCCTCCTCCTCTTTGACGCTGATCGCACCTGAATCGCGGGCTTGTGGCGTTAGCGCACGAGAGAAGCACTCGCCGACCCAGGCGAAGAAGCCAGCGAACGGGGCTGCAGTTGCGAGCGATGCGGGACCGGGCGCGCGAAGAAGCTGGGCAGCAGGCGGAGGCCCTCAGCGGCGCGGAGTGAAGGCTCGCCACCAGCACTGTGCGGGATGCCGGCGAGGAGACAAGGAAAGACAGGCAACGACAAGGAAGAGACGAGGAGGAAGAGGGACGACAGACACGTGCACAAAAACAGAGCAGACTCAGACAACGCTAGCTGTGGCAGTGTGAGCCCTGGGCTTCCTGTCGAGGGGAAGCTGGCGCAAGGAATATATGGTAGCGCGTTGCAGCGCCTGGCGTTACCTTAGAACCCAAGTTCGTGAAAACCTCCCGCAAAGTGAGCCTCAAACTGTTCAGTCAATGCGTGCAGCGCGAAAGGTATCCGAGCCCGTTGAAAAGAATAGAGGAAGAGGCGAAGCGAATTGCAATGTGAGCGGCTTTGTGCTCAAGTTGAAGCGTGGCCTGGAGTGGTCTCGCAAGGTGCGCGGCTGTATGCCGAAGCAGGCTGCTGGCGCAGTAGTTACTGGCTGGCCTGTTCGAGGTCCAAGACAATACATGGAATGTACATCATGGCGGCAATCCTCGGGTTGCTAGCCAAGGTTTGTCGGTACACCCCTAACCCTCAAGGACCGCGGGACCTCACTGCCTTTTGTATATTGTTTCCGGGTTTAGCACGAACCCTTGTAACAATAGGCTGGCTCAGTGTAGCCCGGCTGGCCTGTAGCGGTTGGATGGGGGGCCACTCCCTGTATCCAGGGCGGCCTGGAAGAAAAATGCCCACGGCTGGAATACGTTGCTGGCGATGAAGCGGCGT